TATCCCTGTGTCATACAGGAGGGCCATAGAGAAAAGCTTCTTGTTATGTGGGTCATCTTACTCAGAATCCTTTCATGGATAATGGAAAGAGTGAAATCCCAGATGGGGAAGTATACCCACTTCACACTTATCCCCACGGTTAGGTTAAAAGACCAGGTGTTTGTGTTGTTGCTAAGTGCCGTTGAATTAGTTCCAATTCATAGTGACCCTTTGGAGGATTTCTGAGAAATGTCTGGTGAGTTCCAACTGTCAGCATTTTTGATGGCAGTCTAATGCTTATCCTACAGCCCCACACCAGGACTTCAAAGACCAGATAGTTATGCAAAAATGGAGGACACATGATCTCATCCCCTCACCTCTACTGTGAAGGTCCCTGAAAGCCCCTGTTGAGGACACTTGCCACTGCTGCCCCCAGGTCATAATAGGAGGTGGCAGCCACCATTGCCACCATGAGTGGAGGACCATCCAGTATTCTAGAACCAAGCACCAGTCCCCTTCCTTGCTCTTACCATATTGTCAGGATAAATGGCCCTTGCTCATCCCTTTGATGATCCCGAAATGCTCTTGGTGACGTGGTCTAGAACAGGGGGCTTCTTGTCCATGGATAGGATGGCCTGAGTGTCAAGAGAGGGATGTATATAGGCCGCTGTATTCTCCTGAATGTCCTTAGCCTGCACGTATCCCCAGGATCTAGCTGGTGGCTTAGCACACCTACAGCCCCATGTCCCATGAAAATAGGCAATCCAATACTTTTTTTTTCCTTCCACACCATGAGAATTGGGCCCAGCCTGTGTCCTTACCCTTACTGCACCTGTCACAGGTCACTCAACTGCTGACCCTACTCCTACCCAATTAGTCTGCTGTTCCTTCATCTGTGCTCACCCAGGAAGGTGCATTGAGGAAGTGTAAGGGGCTACACCTGTACTAATCAGCTGACGTAGTCCCCACATACCTGAATGCCCTGTCTCAGGACTCATTTTATTACAGCCTGGCCCATCCTTGCTATTACATGGAGGCAGAACCAGACCCCAGCGTCTGCTTCCTCCCCAACCCAGAGGGTGGCTCACCTCAGGACACTGGCTGCTTTTGCAACAGCCTCAGCCCCTGTAGGTACCCAGGACCTACCACACTGACCTCACTCTCTCCCTCTGCTACTCTATCTAACCCGCTGATTGCTCAGGAATACTACCACATTGTCTCTCACCTCCTGAGTCCTGAACTATCATGCAATGTGAACTTTCTTTCTAAGTGTACACCAGGTGTGGGGAATCTTTTTCTGCCAAAATTTATAACATTCACAGGCCATACAAAATTATCAACTTAAAAATGTTCCTGCTACATTTGGTCAGACATTTAATAAAGTCATTGGAGTCCTGGTGTGGTGCTGCAGGATAATGCGCTGGACCACAAGGTCAATTTGAACCGTAAGTTCAATGGGTCAAACCCACTAGTGGCTCCTAGCAAACCCTATGCAGGGTCATTATGAGTCAGAACCAACTCGGTGGCACTTAACATCAACAACAATATAATGACTGACATTCTGGTGTGTCTCTGTGGGTTAATGTGCTGGGCAGCTAGGTGGGTTTGAACAACCTACTTTATGGTTCAAACACACTAACAGCTCCTAGGAAACCCTATACAGGGTCAGTGAGTCAGACTGACTTAAAGGCACTTAACAACAACAACACTATGATGACTGGGACTGCCGTTGCCTTGGTAGGGCCAGACCAAATGATGGCATCAGAATTGGAGGAAGTTTCATCAATAACCTGTGATATGCAGATGATACAAACTTGTTTACTGACAGTGAAGAGAACTTAAAATACTTACTGATGAAGATTAAAGACCATACATAGCCTTCGGTGTGGATTGCATCTCAATGTAAAGAAAACCAATAAACAACATTCTTATCAATGGAGAAAAGATTGAAGTTGTCAAAGACTTCCTTTTGCTTGGATCAACCATCAACACTCATGGAAGTAGCAGTCAAGAAATCAAATGATGTATTCTCTTAGGAAAATCTGCTGCATACGACCTTCTTATAGTGTTGAAGAGCAAGGATGTCAGCTTGAGGACTAAGTTGCGCCTGACCTAAGCCATGGTATTTTCCATAACCTCATATGCATGTGAAAGTTGAACAGTGAAGAAGGAAGATCACAGAGGAATTGATGCATCTGAGTTATGGTGAAGAATGTTGAAAGTACCTTGGGCTGCCAAAAGAACCAACACATCTGTGGTTGATGAAGCACAGTTAGAGTGCTCCTTGGAGACCAGGATGGCCAGACTTCTTCTCTCATACTTTGGACATATTGTCAGGAGGGACCAGTTGCTGGAGAAGGATATCATGTTTGGTAAGGTGGAAGGTCACAGAAAAAGAGGAAGACCCTCAGTGAGATGGAATGGCAAAGTGGCAGCATCAATGGAGTCAACTGTGGCAATAATTGTGAGGTTAGCCCAGAACTGGGCAGTTATTTGTTCTGTTGTAGGATCGCTACGAGTCACTACAAACTCAATGGCATCTAACAACAACAACAATATGTATTTCGGCCAGACAGTCCCTCCCCTGGTATACACAGAGTCTGCTAGTCAGAGATCTTGGCTTTTGTACATGTTGATGGGCAAAAATTTCCAAAGTTTTATTATTATCCTAAATGTAAATTGTGGGGTGAAAATACAGTCAATAAGTAAGGAGTAGGTGTACAGATGATTTTTTTTCTTCAATTTTATTTCTTATCTTCATTTATCAATTATAAATGACTGCAAAAAAAAAAAAAAAAGACGATTCTATTAAGTGAATTCCTTAGATCATGAAGCTGGATAAGTGGAGAGAGCAGTTGGTCAGGGTAGGTGGTAGGTAACTGTTGTTAAGTGCCATGGAGTCATTTCCAACTCATAGCGACCCTGTACAGGGTTTCTCATGAGCAGCTGCTGAGTTTTAACTGCCATCCTTGTGGTTTAAGCTGACCTTGTGGTCCAGTGCTTATCTGACGCTGTTATACCAGAACTATGTGGTTTGTTGTTGTTAAGTGCTGTTGAGTTGGTTCCAACCCATAGTGATCCTGTATAGGGTTTCCGAGGAGCAGGTAGTGAGCCTGAACCGCCAACTTTGCAGTTCAAACAGTTTTGCAGTCTGGTGCATTTACCCACAGCGTCACACCAGGATTCCTGAACTATGTGGTAGTAATTGTTATTGTTAAGTGCCGTGGAGCCATTTATGATTCTTAGCAACCCTGTATAGGGTTTCAAGGAAGTCACTGGTGAGTTTGAATCGCTGACCTTGTGGTTCAAATGACCTTTCAGCATATTAACTCACAGTGCCACACCAGGACTCCATGGCAGGTAATAGAGGAGAGTGAAATCATTTTCCTGCTTCTAAATTCTGTATTTGAAAAGCTGGACACTTGTCTTTTCCCTCTTATGTGGGTGGATTAGAACCTAAACATCCTGCTTGTTTTTCAAAGGACACCAACTGAGATGTGGTTTTGTTTATATTTGATCCACTAGGTTTCCAGAGACAGTGTCATGCCAAGCCGTCATAGAGTGCATTTCTCAATTTTGAGGCTATCTTAGGACACTTAAATAAACTCATCATCACCGAGATTCTACTGATGCTTTGCATATTTCTCCTGAGGAAAATATGGAATGGATGAGTAGAGATGTAGAAGTGTGAAAATCTCGTAACAGCAACAACAAATTAAGTTCAAGTCTTCTCAGATTTGCTGTTGTGTGACCGTAAAGAACCTATCGAAAGGGTTTCTCTCCATAGTGGGACTGGCCTCATTTTTAATAATCTGATTTATTGTACCTTATAATTAATCACTCTGGAGTTCACATCCCCTATGTGCCCAAATACTATCCTATCGATGGTAGGGGTTTTCTTTACAAGTTCTGTTTTGATAAAAACTGACTGATATCTTATTAATAATATATTTAAAGTATTGTAAGTTCCTCATTGTGTTGACTGGTAGAAAGCTCAATACCAAAATTGGGCTCTGTTTCTATAATTGTATGAGACTTTTAGAGCAAGCATTTTTGTATCTTTATTTTCTCTTTATATTAAAAATAAATAAGAGTCCATAGTGCAACTTTATTTTATATATTTTATAAGTTAATTAAGTTACCTGAAGATGGGAGGGCAAATACACGAACATATGCATGCAAAATACTAACTTTAATTTTCTCATAATTGCTGCTTAAAAAGTTACATGCTTGAAATCAAATTTGAGGTTTAATATTTGTGGTAATAAAATCAAACCATTTATTCCTAAGCTTACTGTATATTGTTTTTCATGTAAATAGCAGGGGTTTAAATCCTGCCATAGAACTATAAATTTTACAATTCACCAGGTTGTTGTCAACTACAGTAATTAACTACATTAGTGTTCATATGAATTTACAATCTGCAAAGTTAATTGAGTTCCAGGTAAGAATGGCTTCACTTTGAAATACTGAGTAGTTCCAACCTTATGTGAAGCTGTGATTTTTCAACCACAAGAATGTATTAGTGTAATGCTTGTTATACTATAATCATCTGTTTAAACAGCACTGTGTGGTAAATTTAACTGCATTAATTACATCTTGTTTGTCATCCAGACAACAATAATGACATTTATTCTAGATCCAAGGGTGCACAAAAGAATGAACAAAAGATTTGTTTTACCCCAAAATGAAACATTATTATTATGGTTTATAAAATTATTGTTATAAAACTTAAAATAAATTACTACAGAGCTTTATCTGTCCATTTAAATCAACGGAATGGGACTCACTCCTAGACTATTTCCTTAAAGAACACATTAGATTAACATTATCGACAAGGAAAAATAATGAGATACGAAAAGTAATTAATTTATAAATCTTTAACTATTAGGAATACTCACCTTTCAATGTATCTGTCGATTAATTACAATTTGTTACAGTGAATGGAGTGAATTTATCATGGAAATTTCTCTAGAGGCTGAAGAGAGTTTTGAACTATTACAATCACCTCTCATGCTTACCATTCAGATTGCTGTCTTAACTCAGCCAGTTGATGGAGACGTTTGAGTGCTTTTTCTTGTTTCTTCTCATCTTTCCATGACTTAGAGGCTACATTGCGAGCAAATTCCCGTTGCTTTAATTCTTTCAGTCTCTGTGGGAAAGAAGAAAAAGAGAAAAGCTACTATAAATAAAAAACATATTACTTTCCATCTATAAGAGCTCTTATGAAATCTTGACCTATGCAGGGTAGCGGTCTAGATAGGAGAGTGAAAATAATGTCCCCATCAATGTCATTCTGTTTCATGACAAATTTAGGAGATACATGTAATTGTTAACTAGGTTATTTATCAAAGATTGTCACAATCACTGAAGAAGTATGGCACAGTGCTGGACCCTAGTCCTTGTCAGAACCAACCTGGCTACACAACCTAAACCATCTGTGCGTCTGAGGAATCCCAAATAGGAAAAAGGTACAATATATGAGTGAGTATGATGGGAAAAGAAACTATATGAGGCACTTATTCCAGCCCTCTCATCTGTAAAATACACTTATATGAGCTTAATTTAGTAAAGCATTTGTAACTGTGAAAGATTTGATTCAACACTCTACATGTGATTCTTCATTCATTGTTCTGGCAGAGATATTTATCAAATACAGATTTCTATATTATATTCCTGGTATGGCACTGTGGGCTAATGTGCCAGACTGCAAAGTCATTTGAACTGCAAGATCGGTGGTTCAAGCTCACTGGCTACCCTTTGGAAACCCTATACAGGGTCACTATGGGTCGGAATCAACTCAACAGCACTTAACAACAACAACATATTATATTCAGAAATATAAAAATAGTTCAGGGATTTAGGCACAGTTTTAAGGTTTAGCCTTGTTTTATTTAAATTAACCTATCACTTCTTTTAATTAGCCCTTTCTCTAAAACAATTGACTTACATGCAAATTATTTGTTATTCATTACCTGTTCAGATTTCTACTTCAGAAACTGCCACTAGGGACACCTAATGATATTGAACAAATTGAGCAAAAGCCACAATCAAATGAGCATCTTGGAATTAAGGGCTTATCCTAAATGCAAAGTGCACTTAACAATTAGTCTTTCTTTACTCAAACTAAGTAATTTTAAATTGTCTTAAATCTGAATTAGTTCAACTTTGTTTTTATTTCTCTAAATCAAGTATAAAAGATGTTTCCCAAGTATAGCTAAACTCCATGGTGCCAAGTGAGGTATTAATGCTGTAGCTAGTTATTTCCCCCTGGTAGGACAAAGACCAAAACTTTTCATTATCATTACTTTCTCGAAACAGAGCATGCTCATGGGCAGTGGTGGTCAAGTAACTGTATCTTTGCTAAGTGCCTGAAAATGGGAGAGAGAGAGACCAGTCTTCCACAGGGAAAATGTCCTGAGCACAAAAATAAGAGTTTTGTGCTTAAGATAGAAATAGTGATAAGGAGAACAACAGAGTGAACCTGAATTAAATTTTTGACAAATATTTCAAATTCTTTAAAGCAGTAAAAGCATGGCCCATATATTATTAGAAAAACAGAGAAAGGATTGATACCCCTCTACAGTGGCACAGTGGAGTGGTCAAAGCAGCTCATCTGCTATCCAGAAGATCAGTGGTTCAAGTCCATAGTCACTCCATGGGAGAACCAAAGCAATCTGCTTTCATAAAGATGAATAGCTTTAAAACCCTATGGAAACAGTTCTACTCGGTCTTAAAGGGTGGCTATGAGTCAGAATTGACTAGACAACAGTGGCTATAGTTTTTTTTTTTTTTTTTTTTTCTTTTAGAATTGGTAAAGTATGTAAATGTTAAGGTGTTAGAATATTTACTAACTTAAAATATGGAGGCTTGAGATGCCCAGAGGCACCTCATAAGTAAGATTTGGAAATCTACGTCTGAAAATCAGTCATTGAAAACGCTATGGAATACAATTCTACTGATACACCTGGGGTCATCATGAGTCAGAATCCACTAGAAGACATCTGTTGTTCTTGTTAGATCTAATAGACCAGTCTTCCTAGTGATATTAAAGGATAACCTTTGCTAGAAGTCCCTCCTAATCACACATCCTTCACTCTCATTTGAATAATAATAATAAAGGACAGAGACTTTTTGGAAACCTGCCTTCACAAGAATCCATATAAAATTCACTTCAATGGTGTCAAAGAGAGATGGCTTCTTTGGAGAACAGAAGATGTTTAGATTTACTCTCAATTATATTTACTGAATTTTGTATTACTAGCATATATAAGTGCCATAGTGTTTAAGTGCTCAGTGATTTGAATCCACCATGGAAGAAAGATGTGGCAGTCTGTTTCTATAAAGATTCATGGCCTTGGAAACAGAGGTGCAGTGAATTATTTCATATGGTTCTTCTACCCATCGTCCTTATAATTCCTACCAAACAATGTTTATTTTCCTGATGGGTCTGGCTGAAAGAAGGTGAGGGAAGATGCCAATAAGATGATATAATTCAGCTGTATTGATTATTAACAGGGTTAATTGTTATTATAAAAACTTGGCACTGCAATGTGAGCATAAATGAGTCATCTCAGAAGCAAGAGGGGAGGCTCTCACTACAGTCAAAGAACAACAGCCAGAAATGTAGCTTGTCTTTTGGGTCCCGAGATTCTGTGCATTGAAACTCCTTGACCCAGGGACAGAAAATTAGACTCTGGAGGAGTGGCAGGGGAACAGCTGCAGCGGAATGAAGAGCCAGAGCATGAAGCAGAGCAGTGGACTTCCCAGTCCATGGAGCAAGTAAAGCTGAGTGACTTTGGGCAGGAGGCTTGCCTGTACAGTGGGGTACCTCCAGGCACTTAATTGGGGGAGTTAGGCTTGCTGACTCCTGGAGCTAGAGCTGTGTGCCTTCAGGCTGAGGCTGATTTTGGAGTGGTATGCCTTTTGTCACCACTCCTTTTCAATATTGTTTTGGAAGTATGAGCCACAGCTATATGACAAGATAGGGTAATTAAAGTCATCCAAATTGGCAAAGAGGAAATAAAACTCTCTCTATTTGCAGATGATATGATTCTATACATAGAAAACACCAAAGATTCAGTAAAAAAAAGCTACTAGACATCATTGAAAGATTCAGCAAAGTGGCAGGGTATAATATCAACATACAAAAATCACTTGGATTCCTCTATAGTAACAATGAGAGCACTGAAAAAAACATTAGGAAAGAAATATCATTTACAATAGCCATAGTAATATATGTAACCAGAGAAACAAAAGACCTATAAGAAGAGAATTACAAACCACTACTAAAAGAAACCAAAAGAGACTTAACAAAAGAATATACCATGTTCCTGGACTTACAAAAGAGACTTACAAAAGAACATACCGTGTTCCTGGATAGGAAGACTCAACACCGTGAAAATGTCAATGCTACCCAAAGAAATTTGCACATATAATGCAATCCCAATCCAGATTTCAGTGACATTCTTCAACGAGATGGAAAAGAGAATTACAAACTTTATATGGAAAGAAAGGAGACCCAGGATAAGCAAAGCACTGCTCAAGAAGAAGAACAAGGTTGGAGGCCTCTCACTCCCTGATTTCAAAATCTACTACACGCCTCCAGTGGTCAAAACAGCCTGGTACTGGTACAATGAAAGACACATTGAACAATGGAAGAGAATTGAGATCCAGAAATTAACCCATCCACATACA